CTGCTGGGCGGCGGGGGCCGGGAGCAGTACGGCAACGCCTTGGTGCGCTCCGTTAACGGGTCCTACTCCAGCCCCTACCCCGCCTACGTGACCCCCGAGATACCGCCTTCCTGGACGGCCGGACACTTTGAGAGCAGCGTACTGCACAGCCTGCAGACAAGGCAGGCGGCTCTGCCCGCCCGCAGGTCCACCTTCGGTAGGTCACCGTGTCCACCCTTTCCAGGGCCGTTTCGGGGTCGGAGTTAAGCCCATCGCCTCGACATGTCGGTGGCCTGGCCCCGGGGGGATCTGCCGTCCCCGTCGGAAAAGGAGGGGATGGGGAGATGGCTCGGGAGGGGGGTGCGTGTGGCTGGCTGACCCCAGGCAGAGGTGCGGTGTGTGGGTGTGGGATGTGTGTGTGTTGCACGAAGGGCAAAGACCACGTTTCAAAGGAGAGCAATTTCCCCGCAGGACAGAGGAGCAGAGGCCGTTCAACCCCTTCTCCCCCACCCCCTTCCGATATCTCCTGCCCACAATATCGACTTTGTGCCTGGGCTTCAATACTTACCCTTGTGTTTAAATTAGCGGGGCAGATTTATAGCTCCCTCCCTTTTAAGTAATTTATTGTGGTAAATGAGTTTATATTTGAACAGACTCTCGGGCTCCTAATTCGCCTTCCCCCAAACAGCTCCGCAGCTGCACTGCTCCGCGGCCTTTGCAGGGACACCCAAACGCACTCAGGCGTTGAACAATAAACCCTGCTGCAGCTCCTTTGCATCCGCACTAGAGAGTCCTTTCAAACCAAGCCCCGAGCAAATAAAATTTGGGACTTGATTTAAAAGGACTCTCCATGCGCAGGGTTTATAACCCCGGGGGTATTTCACCATCCTCCTCCGGCCGGGGTTTGCAAAGTCCTTTAAAAGCCACTTCAAGATCTCAGCCGCGTTATCATCTTTACTGCGGTGAACCGAATTATCTTATCTTTACCCCAAGAACAAAGTTAACCCGAGGAAGCAGCCCCCCTCCCCACGGCTTTTACTTGTACTCGGCAGCGGTTTCTGCCCAGGATTTTCTCTTTGTCCGGGAAAATCCGTTGCGCAGTGCAGGCAGCGATCGCTTCGGTCCTGCCGAGGCAGGGGACGGCAAGGAAATATCTTCTGTGCTTTGGATTTGGTGGTTTGGGATCCAGAATAGTGGCCGCCGTCCTCTTTGCCGTTTATTTTTGCTCTCGAATAGTGTAAACTGCTCTTAAGTAGCGTAAACTATTCTTTAAAAAAAAATTATAGTAACTTTTTTCTTTTATTGCTTTTTACATTTTTTTAAATTTTCCATTTTCCCCTTGTTAATTTTTGTTCTTTTTCCTTCCATTGGATCATTATTAACGCTATCGAAGATTTCAAAACCAAAACCAAACCAAACCAAAACAAAACCAAATTAAAAACCAAAACTAAGAGCATCTTTTTCTTCGGATGAAAATAACATTCCAGATGGAAGAATTTATTTCAAAAAGAGAAAAGCGGCAGGAGGAAAGGGACCGACCCTCAATCGAGGACTTTCTCGGTTTTGCTCTGGTTGCCGCGGAG